ATCAGAGAGTACATCGGCGGAGAAACAGTTCAGAGAACAAGATGAAAAAAGCTCAAGAACTGTATCCATAATGTTTGATCCAGTAAATGCGGATGTAGCAGAAAATAATTCTGCAACCACTTTGCATAGCAACTTTCAAATGAATCCATCGTCACAAAGTGTTCGAACAACAGTTCCAGATAGCAGCAATATTTTTCCAGTAACCGCCGCGCAGGACATTACACAGTTCGAGGGTATCGATGTACAAAATTCTTCTGAACAAAAAAAAGCATCAGTTTTTGCTTCATCAAAGAAGACGATAAGCAGTGAACAAAATGATCAAGCTGGTGAATTGGTGGGTAGTGTAGTTTTTCCACCTCAGTCATCACCCAGCAGCTTCAAACAACATGTATCACAACAACCACAACTATTAGGTACATATAGTTTTTCATGCACTTTTTATTTTTTGCATAAAAATTTTAAAATTGTTTGAAAAAAAGTGGAACATTTAGTACTGTAAAAATTGAAATAATACTGTATTCTGGTATAGTATTTACTCAAAACTTTTAGAAGCATCACCAGTAATGAATGTTCTAAAACGCTATGATAAGTTGTTTAACGACAGTCTTTCGACAAAATCAGCTGTAGCGAACAGTTTTGCAGTACATGGGAATAAATCTCGAAGTATGATTTGATACAAATAACATCTCTGTTCTTCACTTTTTTTTTTGTTTTTTCGTCTTTTTAATGTTTTAAGCGACAAAAATCTAAAAAGTTTTTTAACATTTGTTTTTTATGCATTGACATTAATCACTTGAAGATAAAAAGAATTAAAAAAAAGTTGATAACAAAATAGGATCATAATGGTTGAAGTTTTTTAGAGGAACAGATTTGCAATGGCAGTCAAAATTTTCTGCTAAATTTTTGTTATCAATCGGTCAAAGGGACAAAGAAAAAAAAAGCCAGAAATAAATAAAATAGTCAAGTGTTTTTGTGGATTTATCTGATTTGGTTTGAAAAGAAAACAGCAATTAAACAGTGTAAAGTGATGTTTAAAAACAAAAAATTTTTTTTTATTTTTTTTGCAAATAGGTTTTCTGCCTGTGTTGGAGAATGCGGCAAATCAAATAGCACAAATGTTCAACGATAAATCGGCATATACTTCATCCGGAGTACCATACATGAAAATTTTTCAAAATGCTGTCAAAAAATTAATTGTAAGTTTATTCCAAAACAAAAAAAAAATTGTTCTTTACCTTTTCTTTCTTCTCTCTT